TAAAGCTGGATCTATTTTTTAATGACCCCTTGATTTCTTTTTCTATTGACTCCTGTCCTCTAAGACTCTCCTCTCTTGCTGCTATAATTCATATTCTCTTTTCTGTGTTGCCAATATCACTTCTTATCTACCCATTACACTTGAGTTTATGGGGTCAGGTGTTCTCAGGCTGCTCTTACACAAATAGGAGTCTCACTTTCCTGACCAGCTTGGCAACTCTCCATAGGTTGGGAACCATATTTTTGCATTTTTAAAGATTTATTTATTTGAAAGGCAGAGTTATAGGCAGACAGAAGTGGGGAAGTGGGAGGTATTTTCCATCCACTGGTACACTCCAAATGGCCAGGGCTGGGCCAAGCCAAAACTAGGAACCTGGAGCTTCATCTGAGTTTCCCACACAGGTGGCAGAGGCATGAGCACTTGGACCATCTTCTGCTGCTTTTCCAGGTGCATTAGCAGTGAACTGGAGCAGAAGTGGAGCAGCTGTGATATACATGTTATTGTATTAAAAATAGTGTTTTATTTAAGATCTTTTGGTGGAATCTGTTTCACACCTCATGGAATCATGCCAACTGCAAACAAGGATATTTTTATTTTCTCTTTTCCAATGGCATGTTTTTGATTGCCTTGCCTTGCCTAATCGCTCTGGCTAAGACCTCAAGTTTCTTTTTTTTTTAATTTGACAAGTAGAGTTATAGACAGTGAGAAAGAAAGAGAGAAAGGTCTTCCTTCCGTTGGTTCACTCCCCTAATGGCCGCTATGGCTGGCGCTGCAGTGATCTGAAGCCAGGAGCCGGGTGCTTCCTCCCAGACCCCCCCATGTGGGTGCAGGGCCCAAGTACTTGGGCTATCCTCCACTGCCTTCCCAGGCCGCAGCAGAGAGCTGGACTGGAAGAGGAGCAAGCAGGACTAGTACCCGGTGCCCCAAGCAGGACTAGAACCTGGGGTGCCAGCACTGCAGGCAGATTAGTCAAGTCAGCCACAGCACCATCCAAGACATCTAGTTTCATATTGAATCAGACCAGTGAGAGTACTCTCTGCCCACTGTTATCTTTATCTGGTCAAAGATGTTAGAGGAATATTTTTGAATTCCCCATTTCATATGATATTGGCTGTGGGTTTGTCATGTATGGGTTTATTAAGTTGAGAAATTTTTTTCCATATGCATGTGTTCATGATTTTAATCATGACTGGATTTTATATTTTATGAATCCTGAAAGCTTTGTGGGGAAAATGTGCTAATAATCTAATCAGGGTTTCCCTTAAAAGGGACCACTTGCTTTTCTGATTCAATTCTGTTTCTTTCTTTGTGTTGTTCTTTTGAGTACAAATATAAGGTGACAGAAATTTCTCTGGTAACTTCTCATACACTTTTGGGGCCTTCTATACATCAGTGTCCGTATATTTCTCCAGCATGGGGAAGTTTTCAGCTATTACCTCCCTGTCCTGGTTCTTCTTCTCTCCCTCAGCGACTGTGGAAATTTGAATACTTGGTTATGTTGTGTTCCCCTGGTCTCAGGAGGCCATCTTTTTGGTTCCTTTTGTCTGACTGGTATATTTAAAAAGGCTCTTCTTTGAGTTCAGGTATTCTTTGTTTTGCTCAGTATAGTCTGTTGTCGATATCGGTAACTTTTTTCACTTAATCACTTCATGTTTTGTAAGATTTTTCTTCAGTTCTTGTTCAAGGTCTCTGTCTCTGTTGAAGTTTTCATTCATTGATATCATTCATCACTTGCATAACGTTCAGGTAACTGTCCATATTCTCTTGTGTCTCTCTGAGTATCCTCATGAAGCCCATCTTTTGAATTCTTTATCTGGCATTTTATGCACCACCTTCTTTGTGGTCAGCCACTATAGTGTTGTTATATTCTTTTTGGTAGCATATTGTTTAATTTTCACTCTTCTGTCCCTATGTTGATTGTTACACATCTGGTAGATCAGTTTTTTTGTATCATTTTTAAGGGATGGTTTTCAAGGATTGAAAGATTTTTCCTGAATGTCTGTCTTTAGGTATTGACTTTGTAGCGTGTTTTGTCTCTGTTTCAAGTTAAAAATGATAATGGCCTCTCCCTATAGCTTATTTTTGCTGTAGTTCACTCCAGTAGCATCAAGGGTGTGGGTATTTCTGGGGTCCATTGGAGTTGCTTGGCCCCATGGTATGGAGTCCCTCAGCCACCACTAGAGTAAGGGAACAGAGATGCAGAAATGACATTCTTTCTGGAAGCACACCTGGCTGGCTCTGTGAATGGGCCCAGTGATGGCTCACCACCCATCACCCAAATGTGATACAAGAAATGCTAGAGGTCACTGGTTCTGGGAGCAGGCCAAGCTGATGCTGGGACAGCCAGGTTATGTGGCCTGAGCCATTGCCTGATGGGCCAGAGCCCCAGGAGTAGCAGTGAAGCCCATTAGATGGGGCAAGCAGACCCCTAGTCACTGCCAGAGGGTGGGGCTGGAGCTGCTGTATTGTATTTGATGCTGGGATTTGCAGGCCACAGGACCTCCAGAGGGGCAGAAGTGACAGGAGTAGTGCTGGTGCTGGGCGCTGATGATTTTTCTACTCTTAAAGAGAACCTGTTTATGTTTCTTGTGGTAAAATTCTGCAACTGTTTCCAAAACTCCACCTTGACCCCAATTTAAGAAGCTGAGAGACTTACAGAGAATGACTAATAACTGTTCACTTCCACTGAACTATGATCCACTGGGTGATTCTAACTCTGCCAGAAATGGAAGCTGGGAGCTAAATCCAGGTCTCCCACTTGCATGGCAGTAATAGATCTCTGTGAGTCGTCATCTGCTGACTCCCAGGTCTTCATTGGCAGAAAGCTGGATTCAAACTGAGGCACTGTAATTGTGGGTGTCTCAATGGGTTTTCCAACTACAAGGCAAAATGCCCATACACAAAAATGTTTTTAACTGTCAAGGCAGGTCACCTCCAGCCTCCAGCAGTTGGACAGTTACCATCGAAGTGTCCTTACCATTTGCTGCATTCAGCAGCTTCTCTCTTCCTGGTAAGCTGGTATTTCTTGTAGTGGCGTATATTTCTCATGTTCAGGGACGCTGTTTTCCTTATGACCTCAATTCTTGGGCTAATCTAAGAAGAGAATTGGTGTTTAGTATGTTGTACTATTTTCTTGTCTTTACAAGTGACTATTCCGTTATTTACATTTTGGAGCAGAAATTTGAAATTTCCTTTGAAATTACTTAAAAGAATAATTACCAATTAACAGATCTACCACTCCTTGGTGTTAGTAGATTCATATAATTGTGCAACCATCACTAGCGTTCTGTTGTAGAAATTTTTTAATGCCTTCCAAAGACCAGGGAATCCTCTTTGTAGTCATTCATTTCCCATTCATTGATCACCATGCCTGTAATTGAAACGAACAAAAATCTGGAAAACAGGTATCATCAAATTTGAATCATTAAATTTGAATTTTATTAGATTATGCCTTCATCCAGTCGATCATTACCCTACTTTTGAGATAACCAGTGGAGAGATCTCATTATATCTATTTGGAATAATTTAAGGAAACAAGCCATCTAATAGAGCAGAACAGAAAAACCTAAAGGAGAATGGTGGAGTAAAGTCATAGTGAATGTGTTTTCTTAAGTAGTATTTAGTGTGTTCCTTAGTCTCAGCCTGTCAGAGAGTGGTTGAAAATCAGCTGAGTATTAATAATAGGACACTCTGAGCTCTGATAAAAGAGTAGTCCCATCTCATGTATTTGAACAGTGGAAGTAGCTATGTTTGATCTAAAGTAGCCTGAAATAGATAGTAGATTCTGGGTGATGAGTTACATTCTTGGGACAGGCAGCCTTGAGGAAGGGCTCTGCTGCCCTTGAACCCTCTGCGGTGCTGGGCCCTCCACTGCTCTAGGGGGCTCCCTGCATCCTGCCAGCCCCACTTGGGCTTCCTGTGACCTGCACTGCTCTGGGGGGCTCCCTGTGCCCTTCCAGCCCCCCTTGTGCTCCCTGCACCCTGCATAGCTCTGGGGGGCTCCCTGTGCCCTGACAGCCCCCTCGGGCTCCCTGCACCCTGCACTGCTGTGGGGGGCTCCCTGCACCCTGCATAGCTCTGGGGAGCTCCCTGCATCCTGCCAGCCCCCTCATGCTCCCTGTACCCTGCACTGCTCTGGGGGGCTCCCTGCTGGCCTCCCCAGGCTCAATGCACTGCTCTGCGGGAGGGGCTCCCTGTTCTGTTGACCCCGTAGCACCTCCCTGCTCCACCTGCCCGCTGATGCCGTGGCACAGAAGCAGAGCAGCGGACCTTCCACCCGCTGGTGCCCTCCCCAGATGTGTGTGGAGCTGGGCCAGGCTGGAGCCAGGGGCTCGTCTGAGTCTCCTGCGTGACCGTGCCTGGGAGCACCCCAGGTGCATTAGCAGGAAGCTGCCTCGGAGCCGAGCAGCCGGGACTCAGGCCGGGCACGTGGGTGAGGGCTTCCGAGAGGCAGCCTCACCTGCTGTGCTGCGGTGCCTGCCCGGATCCCTTCCTGCCAACCGCTGTATGGGACTGACCTGTTTGGGTGGCTTTCTCGGTTGATATCCGTGGTACCGCAGAAGGACCTGGAAAGAAGTCAGGCCGTGGTGGAGTGGGCGGAGCCTCTGCCTGGAGTCCTGGCTGCTCCTCCCCCATCAGCCTGGGAGCAGTGAGGAAGCGCCTGGCCCCTGGCTCCGGATCCACCAAGTTCTGGCCACCGTGGCGGTCTGGGGAGTGAAGCAGTGGATGGAAGATCTCTGTGTGGGTGTCTCTAACTCTGCCTCTCAATTTTAAATAAATAAAATCTTGGAGCAGGCACACTGGGCTGGGCCTCTGCCTGTGGTGCTGGCATCCCATGTGGACGAGAGTTCGAGTTCTCGTTGCTCCACTTCCGATCCGGCTCTCTGCTGTGGCCCGGAGGGCAGTGGAAGCACCCGCGTGGGGGACCAGGAGGGAGCCCCTGGCTCCTGATCAACGCGGCTCTGGCCATTGCAGCCATTTGGGGGGTGAACCAGTGGATGGAAGGCCTCTCTGTCTTTCCCTCTCACTGTCTGTAACGCTACCTCTCAAATAAATAAAATCTTTAAAAATAAATAAATAATTAAATATTAACAAAAGCTTAAAAATGTAATTAATCTATCTGAAAGACATACTTTCAGCGGGGAGAAACGGAGGGAAGGGGAGAGAAGGGGATGGAGAGAGCAAGAGTGGGAACAACACCACTTTAATTTTGAAGATATCATAAATACGTTTCACAGTCTGCATTGCAAGAACTCAGGAGCCTGGAGGAGCGACAATAGGTCCGTTACCATCCCCAGGAATCCTCCCTCAGGAGGAAGACAGGAGCTGAGTGAGGCTGAGGCTGTAACCTGCTGTTCTATGGGGAAGGAGGCCTGGCTTGTTTGTGCAGCATCTCCAGTAACATTGTTTCTATTCTCTCCATGTGTGCTCTGAGTGTTTCGCCTTCAGAAGACAAACAGAGCAGCAGGCTGATGGTGGGCAGCACCACCAGAACTCAGTTTGCAAATGCTCAATTCCTCTAAAGGGACACCTTTATGCCTCTAGTTTTGTTTTTGAACATACAAGTACATATGTGTGTGAGTGAACGTAGACATGAGTGAGGGAGCCACAATCTGTTCAAGCCATGGCAGAGCTTGGAAATCTTTTGGGACAGTGAGCTGAGCCTGCCTGGGCTAAGAGGAGCAGTTGACTCCTCTTACTGGACATCTTTAATGGACAGGAACCAAGAGGAAATGAAAAAGGGGGTGGGAATGGGGGTGGAAATAGAGACTGGGAGGATCAGTGCTTCTATACGTGTATTGAAACAATAGAAAACGCCTGAAGAGGACTGTGCTAATTTATCAAATCCTAAATACTGATCTCTACCACCAACTTAAGCCAAAAGCTTTTGGGGTCCTTTCTCTTTAACCAAGTAGAAAGTTTCTTGAGAAAACCAGCCTGGTGTGTCCCCAGCTGTGATTGGTCTAGAGCCTGCTCTGCCCTCAGGGGGGCCATTGTGATGTCATTCCAACTGCCTTAACAGTTCCCTGCTTGGGCTCGGTTCTGGTCAGTTGGCCCAGGAAGCTCTGTGGAGACTGCCTGAAGGATTGGACGACATCACTGGTTTTCCCTTGTCCTGTCATTGGTGGTGTTGTCTTGTCTGGTCTATTAGTTCTCTTTACCGTAGTGGTTCTTTTAGTATTTCTTCTATTTTGTTTTTTTGCTATTTTTCAATTTCTCTCCCCCTCCCATTTTTACATTGTGTGCTTGTGTATTTTCTTTAAATATTTATTAATTTTTTGTTTTTTCTTTCACAGGCTAAATGTACTTGATGCTGTGTTCATTTGTCCTTCTTGTGTTTCCTGCGTTTTCTGACTATTTTCTCATTTTTTTAATCCTTTGATTTAGATAAGACTGTTATAAGACTTACTGATTAGCATTGTTACCATAGTTACCATAGTTGGTGTTGCTCTCCTTCACCATTTTTAGTATTCTGTGTGTTTTATAACTTTTAATTCTTAATTTTCATACAGTGTTAGTGATTAGTATACCATAGTTCATAGAGTTAGCATTCTCTAGTAGAAATATTAGCATATTGAGTTGTTAATTTTGGTTACCATTTAGCTTGTTTGATTTCTGTTTGTTTCCCAATTTTTGTTGTTACTTTAGGTGACTAGTAAGTGTTCCCAGTGTCAGAGTGCAGGGTGGGGGGTGGGGTGGGGATCCCACCATGGAAGGCCTCACCGCCTTCACCAGTGAGGAGGAGGTCCTGGGTGGGTACCAGGTCCTCAGGGTCCTCGGCCAGGGAGGTTTTGGGCTGGTGATCCTGGCCTATCATTGGGAAAGCAGGACCCAGGTGGCTGTGAAGGTTGTGGAGAATGGTGGCCAGCACTCCTGCAGCTTCCAGCAGCTGTGCACAGAAGCAGAAATAATGAAGGGGCTGCATCACCCTCACATCATTCAACTACTACAGGTCAAGCACACCACAGAGAGGGGCTACATTTTCATGGAATACGCAGTCAGGGGGGACCTTAGATGTTACATGGTAGAACGAGGGTACCTACTGGATGGAGAGATTTGTCAGCTATTTAAACAAATTCTATCTGCTGTGCATTACTGCCATTCGCAGCACGTGGTGCACAGGGATTTAAAGTTAGAAAACCTGCTTCTTGACGCCAACCTAAACATTAAGTTGAGCGATTTCGGTCTCAGCTGCAAACTGGCTGGTGGAGAGCGCCTGAAGAATCTGTGCGGGACCTTTGCCTACTGCGCGCCCGAGGAATTCTTAGGTGAGGAGTTCTGCGGGTACAAGGCTGATGCCTGGAGTGTGGGCGTGATCCTGTACGCCATGGTGGCAGGCTCACTGCCTTTTGTTGGAGAGGATTTTGTGGAGCTGCGGGCAGCCATCCTGTCTGGATACTACAGAATCCCCCACTATGGAAACCCAGAGCTGTGTAACCTGGTGGACAGCTTACTGACCCGGGACCCTGAGGCCAGGCCCACAGTGGCAGACATCATGGGCCACCCCTGGCTCCATGCAGGACATGGAGCAGCTGGAACCAGTGACGAGTTTCTGTTTCTTCCACAGGAGCAGGAAGGATGGGAATTCCCATGGGGCCTCTGCCCTCCACTGTGGCTTCATGAATGGGATGACCCCTTGCCCCCTGTGCCACGCTGGGGGATCTCCCAACAGCAGGGCTTCAGCATCCCAGAAATACATAGACAGAGCCAAGTGGAGCCTGCAGTACCTCCTCAGGGTCCTGAAGCTCGAAGCTCCCTTGAGGACCTGGGATTCCAGCTGGGCCATCAAGCAGGCTCCCTGCCACCCAGGCTCCAAGCCAGTGCCTTGTGCCCAGGACTTCAGCAGGATCACAGCAAAGGGAAGCCCATGCCTCAGGCCATCCCCGGTGCTCAGAGCTGTCCCGTTCTCCAGTGCCTCCAGGGACACTCAGGCTGCAACAGCAGAGCCCGTGAGTGTGCTGCTCTCAGCTCCCAACCACTGGTGCTTGCAGAAGGCCAGTCGGGGCAGACTCCTTGCCATGGGACTCCCAGTGTGAGCAGCAGTGAGTCCTGCAGGACAGACAGGTCCCAACCGGCTGTGTGGACAAGGAGCCCCGCTGCCTGTGCAGTCCTCAGCCAGGATGCTCTGTCCTCTCTCTCCACCACACTGAGCACCAACAGCAGTGAGGCTGATGTAGAAGTCAGGAGCTGCTCCCAGGGTGCCTCAGAGGAACAGAGCATCCCAGGAATGCAGCAGCAGGAGGAGGAGGCAGGGACCTCAGACACGCAGGCCAGAAAGGGCAAGGGGCGCCTGGGGATTGGCAGGAGGATCATCCAATGCTTCAGCTGGCTGTGTTGTGTCCTGCCAGCCCCAGAGGAAAGCCCTTGAGTGCAGAGAGGAAAGTGGCCTCTTAGTAGCCTCTTGGGAAATGCCCCCGAGGAGGGGCCCTTCCCTGAGGAGTGAAGCAATGAAGGGTAGTCATGGACTCCTGACTGGGAGGAGGGCAGGTGAGGAGGCAGTAAGAGAAACTGCAGGCAGAGAGGGAAGATATTGTTGCATTTTTCAGATGGCCATAAGGAAACATGTTTGCATGGTTAGGGGTCATGATCTTTTCCTAAGATAGAAGAACATGGTGTTTGATTTTGTTTAGACGATTAATCCATGAACATCACTCCCTGGTTAACCTTCCTATACCCAGGCCTTATTGGGCCCCTCCCTTAGTCCCCCTTCTGGCTGGCAGGGGTGTCATTTTCTCACAAAAACCTACTTTTGCTTTTTCTCCCCCACCCTCATGATCCGTGTTGGGATTATGTGAGAGAAAGAATGGACTTGAACTTCCTGCAGCATCGTTGGTGCCGTGACGTGGATGGACTCAGCTCCATGGGAAAGGTGAGTAAGGCTGACTGCTACTCTGGTGTTTGGAAAACCCCTGATCTTCTACATACTCATTTATCTTTTAGATTCCCCAGGTCTCTGAGCCAGTTCAAAGCGATTGGTGTGGGATGCTGGTTGTAAGATACAGGGCCCACGTTGGATGACACTCTTTGTCCTCCTCCCACTTTATTCTGTCTTTGATTATTGCCTGCACTCTGTGCTCAGGTGGCTCTCTACCCTGGGAATTCTTCTCACCCTGATTTCCTTCTCCAAGCCCAAGTTCCCAGGTCCCTGGATGAGAAACTCCTGTGACACTTAGAGCTCCTAGATCTGAACTGAGGAGCCTGCATTGCAGACCGAGGTGGCCTCTCCCATTGAGCTGCCTTCTTGTGTGCCCCAAAGAACTCAGGACCCACATGTCTGGGAAGAAGTCGCCTACCTGGCACCTTAACTCGTGCCCATGCTTTCCGTTTTCGTGCCCAGGTTTTTCTTTGGCAAACAACATGTTGGAAGTCATTCCTTCCCAGAGCCATGCTCCTGAAGGTGACTCCCAGGGAAAATTTCTATCCTCAGGCCACACCCACGTTCCCCCTCTGCACATTCAACAGTCCTGCAGTACGGACCACTTGCCCACCCTCCACACTTTGGCAACAAGAGAGTTAGTTGAGACCCCCTTTGTAGAGCCTCATTTCCAAGTTCAGACATGATGCAGGGACAGCAGGAGTGACAGAGGACTGAGGCAATGACTGCTAGGGACTGCGGGAACCCCAAAGACTCAGCGACTTCTGGGAGAATGGGGGGTCCTAAAACTCAGCTGCTGGGGGGGGGCGAGGAAGGAGGAGGTAGCTGCTAGGGTCCACGTGGTGACCTAGTGATGCAGTGGCAGTGGGAGTGCCCAGGGAAGGAGCTGGTGGGGCCTGGGGACCGTGTGGTGGGGCCTGGGGGCTGCACAGAGGGCTCAGATAACCACAGGGGAGCCCAAGAAGAAGTAGGAAGAATCCTCAGGCAATCATAGGGAGGCTGCTGGGGACCGTGCTGGGGGCCCCATGACGGGTGGCTCCTGGTGACTGCACTGGGGCACAAAGACGTGGCTTCACTGGGTGTGCCTGAGGAAGCAGGAGGCAGCCAAGGCAGGCCATGAAGTGGTAGGTGCTGGGGAACTGTGTGGGGTGCCCAATGCTGCTCCTGGAGGGGGAAGAAGAGAGCAGGGCCTGGCCCTGGAGATTGAGGAGGAGAGTAGGGTCTGGCCCTGGTGGGTGAGGAGGGGAACAGGGTCCAGCCCTGGAGGGCAGTGAGTGGAGCTGGGCCCAGGCTCTGGTTTCAAGGTGGGGAGCAGGATCCAGCCCTGGAAGGTGACGAGCAGAGTGGGCCCAGGCCCTGGAAGGCGAGGAGCGGAGCAGGGCCTGCCCGGGAGGTGAGGAGGGTAGTGGGGCCTGGCCCTGGAGGGAAGCCCTGAAGCGGGGCCCAGGCCCTGGAGTGTGAAGGTTGTAGTGGGGCCCAGGTTCTGCAGGGCAAGGAGAGGTGCAGGACCCAGGCCCTGGAAGGCCAGGAGCAGAATAGGGCCCGGCCCTGAAGTTGAGGAGGGAAGCGGGGTCTGGCCCTGGAGGGAGGCCAGGGATGGGCCTGTGGGGAGAAAGGCCTGGCTCTGGAGGGGGAGGAGGGGAGCAGGCCCAGACCAAGGGTGTGAGGAGGCTTTCGGTGCCAGCACTGGAGTATAAGGAGGGGAACACTGGCCCTGGAGGTGAGGAGGGGAACAGGGTCTGGCCCTGGAGTGAGCCAGGGATGGACCTGAGGGGAGCAGGGCGTGGCTCTGTAGGGGAAGAGGGGAGCAGGGTCTGGACTTGGAGGGTGTTGAGGATAGTGGGGCCCAGCCCTGGAGGACATGGAGAGGAGTTGGGCCAGGCCTGGTGGGTGGCTAGTGCCGTGCCTGAAGGGAGCAGGGCCCAGCTCTGTAGGGCATGAGAGGAGGAGCGGACCAGTCCTGGAGGGTGGCCAGGGCCGGGCCTGAGAGGCAAAGGGTCCAATCCTGCAGGGTGAGGAGGGGAGCGGGGGGCCCAGCCCTGGAATGTGGTGAGGGGAGCAGGGCCTGGCCCTGAAGGACAGCAACGGGAGCTGGGCTCAGGCCCTGGTGGGCAACTAGGGGAGTGGGGCCCAGGCCCTGGAGGACAAGGAGAGTGGGGCAGCCCTGCTGGGTGTCTAGTGCCACACCTGAGGGGAGCAGGGCCTGGCTCTGTAGGGCATGGAGAAGAGAAGGAGCCCAGCCCTAGAGGGTGGCCAGGGCCCTGCCTGAGGGGATCATGGCCCTGGAGGGCAAGGAGGAGGGAGGGGCATGTCACTGGAGCATGGCCAGGGCCCTGCCTGTGCTCTGGAGCCTATGTCCTGTTGCCTGTGACCTGTGTCCTGAAATCTGTCCTGAGTCCTGTAGCCTAAGGCATTTAGCCTGTGTTCTATGTTGTGTAGCCTGTGTCCACTGTCTTGTAGCCTGTGGCCTATGTATGCAACCTGTGTCCTGTGGCCTCTGTCCTCTAGCTGGTGTCCTATGTCCCCTAGCCTGTGGCCTGTGCATTGATCCTGTGTCCTGTGTCCTGAGCTTGTGTCGAGTGTCCTGTAGTCTGTGTCCTGTGTCCTGAGCCTGTGGCCTGTTTCCTATAGCCTGTGGCCTGTAGTCTTTGTCCTAGAGCTGGTTTCTCTTTGTAGTAGCCTGTGTCCTGTATACTGAAGCCGGTTTCTTGTAGCCTGTGGACAATGTCCTGTAGTTTGTATCCTGTAGCCTGTAGCCTGTGCCCTGTGCTCTGCATCCTATCCTGTGGCCTGTGGCCTCTGTCTTGTGTCATGTAGCCTGTGTCCTGTAGTCCATGGCCTATGTCCTGTAGCTGTGGCCTTTGTCCTGTGGCCGGTGTGCTGTATGATATGGTGTGCTGTATGATACTCAATGCATACTTGGGCCACAGGCTACAAGACAGAGGATGCAGGCTACATGACACAGGCTGCAGGACACAGGAAACAAGACACAGGACACAGGCTATAGGACAGGGGCCACAGACACAGGAAAAAGGCTGCAGGGCATAGGCTACAGGCTACAGGAGACGGGCTACAGGACCCAGGATACACAACATAGGACACAGGGCACAGATTACAGGACACTGGTTAAAGGATACAGACTACAGGACATAGGACACAGGCTGCAGGACACAGGACACAGCGTATAGGACACAGGCTACAAGACACAGGATACACGACACAGAATACACAACAGGACACAGGCTACAGGACACAGACTGAAGGAAAGAGGGAGCAAGACACAGCCCACTGGGTATAGGACAGAGGCCACAGGACACAGGACAAAGACTGCAGGCCATGGCCACTGGATACAGGACATAGGACAAAGAATTGAGGACAAAGGACACATGCTACAGGGTATAGGCCACAGGACATAGGTCACAGACTAAAGGACACAGGCTGCATGACATAGAACAAAGGCCAAGGTCACAGGCCAGCGGCCACAGGACCTAGGCCCCAGAGCTCAGAGAACAGGCTACAGGACACAGCACACAGACTACAGGACATTGTCCACAGGCTACAAGAAATGGGCTTCAGGACACAGGCCACAGACTAGAGCAAAGAGGACACCAGCACTAGGACAAAAACTACAGGCCACAGGCTCAGGACACAGGACACAGGCAAGGGGTCCTAGAACACCATAGAGGACAGAAGCCTCAGGACTCAGGATGTGTACATACAAGACACAGGACACAGGCTATACAACATAGGACACAGGACACAAACAGAGGCTCCAGGACAAAGGCTATGTCCTGTAGCCTGTGTCCTGTAGCCACTGTCCTGTGGCCTCTGGCCTGTGTCCTAGATTGTGTAGCCTGTGTCCTGTCTCCTGTAGCCTCTGTCCTGTGTCCTGTAGCTTGTCGCCTATGTCCTGTGTCCTGCAACCTGTGTCCCATAGCCTGTGTCCTCTAGGCTGTGTCCTGGGTTCCATATTCTGTGTCCTATATCCTGTGTCCTGTGTTGTCTGGGCTATGTCCTGTGTCCTGTAGCCTGTGGCCTCTGTCCTGTAGCCTGTGTCATGTGTCCTGTAGCCTGTGGCCTCTGTCATGTAGCCTGTGTCCTGAAACTTATGTCACAGACTACCGGGCACAATACACAGGCTACAGGACCCAGAACACAGGACATAAGACACAGTCTATAGGACTCAAGACACAGGACATAGGCCACAGGACACAAGCTACAGCACAGAGGCCACATGCTACAGGACACAGGACATAGCCCAGATGACATAGGGCAGATGATATAGGACACAGAATACCGAACAGAGGACACAGGCTACGGGACACAGGTTACAGGCTCCAGGACATAGTCCACAGGCTACAGGACACAGGTTACAGGCTACAAGAGACAGGACAAAGGCTAAACACTATAGGACACAGGACACAGGCTACAAGACACAGGGACAGGCTACAGGACTCAGGACACAGGACACAGGCTACATGAGCAGGATAAAGGACGAGGACACTGGCTATAGGACAAAGCACAGAGGTCACAGTGTACAGCATACTGGCCACAGGACAAAGGGCACAGCTACAGGATATAGACACAGACTACAGAACACAGGACACAGGGTAGAGGACATGGACACAGGCTGCAGCACACAGGCTACAGGAAACAGGCTACACAAGATAGAACACAAGCTACAGCATTCAGGGCATAGGCCAGAGGATACAGGACACAGAACACAGAACCCAGGACACAGGCTAGAACACAGGCTACGGGACATAGGTTACACGCTAGATGGCACAGGATATAGGTCACAGGATACAAATCATAGGACACAGAACACAGGACGAAGGACAGAGGCTACAGGACACAGGACACAGGACACAGGATACTCAATGCATCCATAGGCCACAGACTACAAGACAGAGGATGCAGGCTACATGACACAGGCTGAAGGACACAGGAAACAAGACACAGGACATAGGACAGAGGCCACAGGACACAGGACAAAGGCTGCACGGCATAGGCCACAGGTAACAGAAGCTGGGCTACAGGACACAGGATACACAACATAGGACACAGGCCACAGATTACAGGACACTGGTTAAAGGATACAGACTACAGGCTACAGGACACAGGCTACAGGACACAGCATACTCGACACAGGACACAGGCTACACGACACAGGCTGAAGGAAAGAGGTAACAAGACACAGGACACCAGCTATAGGACAGAGGCCACAGGACAAAGGCTGCAGGGTAAAGGCCACAGGCTACAGGCTATAGGCCACAGGACATAGGCCATAGATTACAGGACACAGGCTACACAACATAGGACATATGTCACAGGATACAGGCTACAGGACCTAGGCCCCAGAGCTCAGAGAACAGGCTACAGGACACAGGACAACACTACAGGATATTGTCCACAGGCTATAAGAAACGGACTTCAGGACACAGGACACAGACTACAGCAAAGAGGACAACAGCACTAGGACAAAACCTACACGACACAGTCTCAGGACACAGGACACAGGCTAGGGTCCCAGGACACCAGCTAGAGGACAGAGGCCACAAGATTCAGGATGTGTACATAGGCCACAGGGTACAAGACACAGGACACAGGACAGAGGCCCCAGGACAGAGGCTATGGGACACAGGACAGAGCTACAGAACAAAGGATATAGGCCACAGGCTACATGACACAGGACACAGCCTACACGACACAGGGTGAAGGAAAGAGGGAACAAGACAGCAGACACTGGGTATAGGATAGAGTGTCCTGTAGCCTGTGTCCTGTAGCCACTGTCCTGTGGCCTCTGGCCTGTGTCCTAGATTGTGGAGCCTGTGTCCTGTGTCTGGTGGCCTCTGTCCTGTGTCCTGTAGCTTGTTGCCTATGTCCTGTGTCCTGCAATCTGTGTCCTGTAGGCTGTGTCCTCTAGGCTGTGTCCTAGGTTCCATATTCTGTGTCCTATATCCTGTGTCCTGTGTCATCTGGGCTATGTCCTGTGTCCTGTAGCCTGTGTCCTGTGTCCTCTGTCCTGTCTCCCGTAGCCTGTAGGCTGTGTCCTGTAGCCTTTAGCCTATGTCCTGTAGCCTGTGGCTTCTGTCCTGTAGCATGTGTCCTGTGACTTATGTCACAAAGGACAAAGGCCAGTGCCTGATCTCCTCCTCTCCCACCACTGGTTGAGCTGACACTTTTTGTTGAGAAAAATAAAGCAGAGGAAAAGAGATAATATTGCGGGGAACCGAACCTTTTATTCTGTAACAGGGTTAGTTTTAGAAAGGTCTCTAGACCTTGGACCTACAGGACACAAGACATAGGACATACGCGAAAGGACACAGTCTATAGGACAAAGGCCACTTCATGCTCACAGCCTCACTGTTGAGACCTCACCGAGCCATGAGCAATGTTTCCAAATCAAAGCAGAGATTGTCCCAGGTCCAGAGACCTATCTGGATCTAACCCTGTTACAGAATAAAAGGTTTGGTTCCCTGCAATATTGTCTCTTTTCCTCCGCTTTATTTCTCAACAAGAAAGTGTCAGGTCAACCCTGGATGGTGAGGAGGAGAGCAGGCACTGGCCTTGGAGGGCAAGGAGAGGAATGGGGCCAAGGCTCTGGAGGGTGAGGAGGGGTGTGGGGTCCGGCCCTGGAGGGTGTTGAGGGGAGTGGAGCTGGGCCATGGATGGCAGCGTGGGGAGTGGAGCCCAATCCCTGGAGGTCTAGGAGTGGAGCAGGTCCAGCCCTGGAGGGCCTTGAGGGCAGTGGGGTCCGGCCCTGGAAGGCAAGGAGGAGAAACAGGGTCCAGCCCTGGAGGGCAGCAAGCAGAGCGTGCCCAGGCCCTGGAGGGTGAGGAGGGGGCAGCGTCCGGCCCTGGGGGGCCTTGAGGGGAGTGGGGCCCAGCCCTGGAGAGCAGTGTGGGGGGCAGGGCCCAGGTCCTGAAGGGTGAGGAGGGGAGCAGAGTCTGACCTTGGATGAGAGCTTGGGAGCATGGCCCAGCCCTGGAGGGAGAGAAATGGAGTGGGGCCCATATCCTGGAGGGTGAGGGGGGTGGGGCCCAGGCCCTGGAGGGTGAGGAGGGGTGTGCGACCTAGGCCTGGAGGGCGAGCATTGGAGTGGAGCCCAGGCCCTGGAGGTCTAGGAGTGGATCAGGGTCTGGCCCTCTAGGGTTTTGATGGCAGTGGGGCCCTTCCCTGGAGGTAGGCGATGGGAGGGGCCCAGGCCCTGGAGGGCGAGGAGGGAGTGAGGCGCAGACCCTGGAGGGTGAGAAGGAGATCGGCATCCAGCTCTGGAGGGCTTTGAGAAGAGCAGGGCCCGGCCCTGGAGGGCAAAAAGGGGAGCAGGGCTAGGCCCAGGAGGACGAGGAGTGGAGCAGGGTCTGGTCCTATAGGGCACTGAGGGTAGTGGGGCCTGGCCCTGAAGGGCTGGGATGGGAGGGGTGCCCATGCCCTGGAAGGGGAGGAGGGGAGTGTGGCCCAGGCTCCCAGATGAGGTCCAGGATGCCTGGGTCCTGGTGAGCCCGCTGTGTCACAACCCCGTCCCGGTGAGCAGGGGCAGAAGCAGACGTGGTGGTGGGTGAGCCCATGAACGGGGACTGCAGATGCCACCCTGGGAAGAGTCAGGAGCAGGTGCAGGGCTGCACCCCTGGTTCCCTGGGGGGGGGGGGATGGCCGGTTTCCTGAGAGCGACCCCAGCAGGTGCCACATGGAACCCTGATGCCACACGGAGTGTCCTGTGTGTGTGATCGCAGGGGGTTGGTTTCATTTTTTAGCTTCATTTTTATTTATTGGAAAGAGTGAAAGAGATAGCTCCATTCACTGGCTCACTCCCAAACAACCACAACAGCTGGGAGCCGGGAGCTCCACCTGGTCTGGGGTGGGAGGCAGGGACATGAGGACTTGAGCCCCCGCGTCGGGCCCTGCTGTGACTCAGCAAACATCGCCTTCCACCCCGCTCTGAGCTGGCTGCCAGGAGGTGCGTGTGGATCTGCCTTCGGTCGGTCATCTGCCCAGGCCTTAAGGAAGGCCCCACAGTCACTGTCCAGTCTTCTCTTAGGGCTAGTCAGGTTCTCCAGAGGTTTTCTACCCCTGCCTGGGGTCTGGCCCCCGGGAGCTCAGTGCAGAGGGTGGCAGTGAGCTCCGCGGCCGTGGTGAGCTGTCCCCTGCACTGCGCTCTTAGGACACCACAGGCCCGAGCTCACAACTGCCCCTGCACTGTGCTCCTCCATGGCACCCAGCTCACCACGGCCCCCTGCACTGTGCTCCACCATGGCCCACAGCTTACCATGGCCCCCAGCACTGTGCTCTCGGGACACACTGTCCTTTGTGCTGTGCTCTCTTGACAGCACGGACCCCGAGCCCCGAGCTCACCACAGCCCCATGCACTCATCTGTTACGCCCTCTCCTGCTGCCTGCAGGAAGTCTTCTGGCACTGGAGAGACTCCTGGTCTGTTTCCTTTTTCTTTTAAAATTTATCGTGGGCTGGCACCGCGATTCACTATGCTAATCCTCCGCCTGCAGTGGCAGCACCCTGGTTTCTAGTCCCAGTTGGGGCGCCAGATGCAACAGCTACAGAATATAGGACACAGACTACAGAGCACAGAACACAGGGTAGAGGACATGAACACACCTGCAGCACACAGGCTACAGGACACAGGCTACACACGATAGAACACAAGCTACAGCATCCAGGGCATAGGCCAGAGGATACAGGACACAGGATACAAGACACAGAACACAGAACCCAGGACACAGGCTAAAACACAGCTACGGGACATAGGTTACATGCTATAGGCCACAGGATATAGAACACTGGATACAAGACATAGGACACAGGACAAAGGATGCAGGACAGAGGCTACAGGACACAGGATACTCAAGGCATACATAGGCCACAGGCTACAAGACAGAGGACGCAGTCTACATGATAAGGCTGCAGGACACAGGAAACAAGACACAGGACACAGGCTATAGGACAGAGGACACACAACACAGGACACAGGACAAAGACTGCAAAGCATAGTCCTCATGCTGCAGGAGACTGCTACAGGACACAGGATACACAACACAGGACACAGGGCAAGATTAAAGGACACTGGTTAAAGGATACAGACTACAGGACACAGGACGCAGGCTACATGACAGAGGATGCATGACACAGGATACACGACACAGGACACAGGCTACTTGTCACACATAAAAGGAAAGGGGCAACAAGACACAGGCCACCAGCTATAGTACAGAGGCCACAGGACACAGTATAATGGCTGCAGGGCAAAAGCAACAGGCTACAAGACCCAGGACAATGTTCAGAACAGAGGACACATGCTATAGGATATAGACCACAGGACAGAGGCCACAGACTACAGGACACAGGCTGCACTACATAGGACAAATGCCACAGGCCACAGGACCTAGGCCCCAGAGCTCAGAGAACAGGCTACAGGACACAGGACACACACTACAAGACATTGTCTACAGGTTACAAGAAACCAGCTTCAGGACACAGAACACAGACTACAGAAAAGGGGAATCCAGCCCTAGGACAAAGATTAAAGGCCACAGGCTCAGGACACAGGACACAGGCTAGGGGACACAGGACACCAGCTAGAGGACAGAGGCCACAGGATTCAGGATGCGTACATAGGCCACAAGGTACAAGACACAGGACACAGGCTTCACAACATAGGACACAGGTCACAGGACAGAGGATCCAGGAACGAGGCTTTGGGACACAGGACAGAGCTACAGAACAAAGGAGACAGGCTGCAGGTTATACGACACAGGACACAGGCTACACTACACAGGCTGAACAAAAAAGGGAACAAGACACCGGACACTGGCTATAGGATAGAGTGTCCTGTAACCTGTGTCCTGTAGCCACTGTCCTGTGGTCTGTAGACTGTGTCCTAGATTGTGTAGCCTGTGCCCTGTCCCCTGTAGCCTTTGTCCTGTGCCCTGTAGCTTGTCGCCTATGTCCTGTGTCCTGCAACCTGTGTCCCGTAGCCTGTGTTCTCTAGGCTGTGTCCTGTGTTCCATATTCTGTGTCCTATATCATGTGTCCTGTGTCATCTGGCTATGTCCTGTGTCCTGTGTCCCTCTGTGCTGTAGCCTATGTCCTGTGACTTATGTCACAGACTACCAGACACAATACACAGGCTACAGGACCCAGAACACAGGACATAAGACACAGGCTACAGGACCCAAGACACAGGACATAGGCCACAGGACACAGGCTACAGCACAGAGGCCACATGCTACAGGACACAGAACATAGCCCAGATGAAACAGGACAAGGATATAGAACACAGAATAAAGAATATAGCACACAGGCTATAAGACACAGGTTACAGGCTACAGGATATAGTACATAGGCTACAGGACACAGGTTATAGGCTACAGGAAATAGGACAAAGGCTAAACAACATAGGAACCAGGACACAGGCTACAGGACATAAGGACAGGCTACAGCACTCAGGATACAGGACACAGGCTAAAGTCCGAGGACACTGGCTACAGGACACAGCAAAGAGGCCACGGTGTACAGCACTCCGTCCACAGGACAAAGGCCACAGCTGCAGGATATAGGACACAGACTACTGAACACAGAACACAGGGTAGAGGACATGAACACAGGCTACAGCACACAGGCTACAGGACACAAGCTACACAAGATAGAACACAAGCTACCGCATTCAGGCATAGGCCAGAGGATATACGACACAGGATACTGGACACAAAACATGGAACCCAGGACACAGGCTAGAACACAGGCTACGGGACATAGGTTACACACCATAGGACACAGATATAGAACACAGGATACAAGACATAGGGCACAGGACACAGGACACAGGATACTCAATGCATACATAGGCCACAGGCTACAAGACAGAGGACGCCGGTTACATGACACAGGCTGAAGGACACAGGAAAAAAGATACAGGACACAGGCTAGAGGACAGAGGCCACAGGTACAGGACAAAGGCTGATGGCATAGGCCACAAGCTACAGGAGACTGAATACAGGACGCAGGATACACAACAGAGGACACAGATTAAAGGACACTGGTTAAGGATACAGAATACAGGACACAGGCTACAGGACACAGGATCATGACACAGGATACATGACAGAGGACACAGGACAAAGGCTTGCAGGGTAAAGGACCACAGGCTACATGACATAGGACACAGGGCCGCAGACCACAGGACCTAGGCCCCAAAGCTCAGAGAACAGGCTACAGGACGCAGGACAACACTAACAAGACATTGTCCACAGGCTACAAGAAACCAGCTTCAGGACACAGAACACAGACTACAGAAAGGGGAATCCAGCCCTAGGACAAAGACTAAAGGCCACAGGCTCAGGACACAGGACACAGGCTAGGGGACACAGGACACCAGCTAGAGGACAGAGCACACAAGACTCAGGATGTGTACACTAGGCCACAGGCTATA